GAGTTCCTTTTTTTTTTTTTTTTTTTGGCCACTTTTCATGAACCCCAAGTCTCAACTTACTGAGGTGATAGAGGAGTCTTAATTTGGATAGACTTATTCAGCATTATTGTGTGGGGGTATGGGACATATATACTGGATTAATGATTTTGATGTCACCAATAAATTAAGTTTTCTGCACCAGAGTAGTCTCTGGACCAGCAGCGTCAGCGTCCCCTGAGAACTTGGAAATGCAGAAGCTCAGGCCCCATCCCAAACCTACTGAATCAGAAACTCTGAGGTATGTGCCCCCTCCCCTGCCAGCTGTGTTTTAATAAGCCTTCCAGTAATTCGGATATACTCTAAAGTTTGTGCTGTTAGTGATAAAGCAGCACTATCTAGAACTTTCTGCAGTGAAGAGAATGATCTATATCTGTGCCGTCCAGTGTGGTAGCCACTAACCACTTGAAATGTGGCTTATGTGACCAAGAAACTGAATTACGAATTCTACTTAATTTCAACTAATTTAGATTTAAATTTACTTCCTTTTTCTTTTTCTTTTTCTTTTGTTTTCCTATCTTAACTGTTTCATCTAGTTCCTTCACCCCCTCATCCTCTCCCTCTGGTAATCATAAATCTGATCTCTTTTCCTGTGAGTTTGTGTGTGTGTGCGTGTGCATGTGTGTTTTAAGCTTCCACATAGATAAAATTATACAGGTTTTGTCTTTTTTTGTCTGACTTCATTTAGCATATTGCCTTCAAGCCCCATCTGTGTTGTTGCAAATAGGGTTTCCTTTTTATGGCTGAGTAGTAGTCCACTGTGGGTACATAGACCACATTCTCCTTGTCCATCTGTTGGGGGACACTTAACACTGCTTCTGTGTCTCGCCTGTTGTAACTAATGCTGCAGTGAACATGGGTGCAGGTACTTCTTGGAGACAGTGATTTCATTTCCTTTGGATACGTACCCAGAGGCGGAATTGCTGGGACATACGGTAGTTCTAGTTTTAATTTTTTGAGGAGCCCCCGTGCGGTTTTCCATGGTGACTGCACGTCGGACAGCGCAGCCCCAGAGCTTACTTACCCTGCTACTTACCATTGTGTGCATAAACTAAGGTTTTTAAAAATAAGTCCTTGGGGGCGCCTGGGTGGCTCAGTGGGTTAAGCCGCTGCCTTCCGCTCAGGTCATGATCTCAGGTTCCTGGGATCGAGTCCCGCGTCGGGCTCTGTGCTCAGCAGGGAGCCTGCTTCCCTCTCTCTCTCTGCCTGCCTCTCTGTCTACTTGTGATCTCTCTGTCAAATAAATAAATAAAATCTTAAAAAAAAAATAAGTCCTTGGTTGTGGAGTTGCGAATTTTATATCCCAGAACCAGATGCTTCTAAAGGGAGGGTGCCATTGCTGAAACAACCATTTATTGAGGTTTTCCTTCTGGGGGAGGCAGGCAATGTTGCTGGTTACGGGGTCTGCTATCTCTCAGGGTCGGAGGCTCCGGTCTCTCCGGCATGTCCCGCGAGTACGTGCTGAGACTTCCCGCCAGACAGAGCTGCTTTCCAGCAGGTGTCAGTGTAGGAGGTTAGCCGAGTCCCCTTCTGGCCCAGACTCGTGAGCCCGCCCAGGGACTTGGGCTGCTTGTTGTGGGGCTGTCCCCAGACCGCAAGGACTGACCACTGAGTCTGGGTGGCACATGCTTCTCCCACGAAACTGGAATAACGTTTAAGCTCTCCACCAAGGAGCCTTGAAGGGAAGGAGGGTCTGAATCATTGTAACTGCCAGAAGATAACATGAGACTGGTCTGTGGCCATAGTTCCTGGGGTCGCAGGACCCCATCTCTGTCCCGCTGCTCTCGACCCAGAGGGCTTCCAGCGGTCATGTGATCCTGCGATGGACACAGAAGGAGGCATTTAGGAGCCAGGGGACACCTGAGAGTGACTGGGGACTTTTTTCTCAGCTGCAGCAACTGGAGTCTCAAAATTAAAGCGGTCGTTTTTGACAGAAAATGATCCTAAATTCTCTGTCATAAGCCAAGTTCTACATGACTGAGCTTCCTAATTGAGGGCCCCATTTGTTGCATTATTTAAATCCATATCATTGATTTTTGTCATCCAGCTCTTTTTGAGAATCAGAGACTGCTAAAGCCAGGTGGGAGAGGACTTCGAAAGGGGCGTCGTGCAGCCCGGACTCCTGGGGTCACACGTGACGCCACCTCCGTTTTCCTCATGAGCTCAGCTGCTGGTGGTGTGCAGACTGTGTGGGTGTGTACGGCTGGGGTCACGGTTACAAACAGGACAGATTGATGAAAAGGAATGTTGCCAAGGCGTAACAAGGAATATCTTGAGGCTGACTGTTCACTTATGTTTTAAAATACTTCATACAAATGCGTCACGTGGAGATCTTTGAAAAATTTTCACCGGAGTGTTCTGACTGGGGACATGCTACTCCCGATTTTTTCCGTTAACAGCTGAATTTGTTCAAGTCACGTGTGTACATAATTCCGTTCTTGGACACCTCATCTTGCTAACTGGTTATTTATTTATTTGTTTGTTTTGGTGGACAGTTTTATTAGAATTAGTTTGTTTTTCAGACACTAGACCTGTTTCCATTTATCGACTCTGATACTCCTTCTTTGGTAACTTACTTTGTTTAAATAGCTTGCCTTTCTTACCGTATCTCAGAAGTCTTGAAATGCTAGGTGTTAAAAGTGGGATCGTGTAGACGTCACAAGCATTTTCTCAGTACTGGTTGAGAGAGTAAATGCTGTCCCATCGAAGGTCTGAATGTTAATTTCCCCTGATATTTGCTGTGGTCAGGTAGGGGGAGTTCCATAGTGGAGAGAGAGTAGGAGCTGTGTAATATTTTCCCCCTGTAGCTTGAATGGAGTCTTAAACACAAAATTCACACGCATACGAAAGGCCAGGAGAGGTTGAGTAAATTGAATGTAGGGTTATTGTTTGTGTCCACAAAACAAAGCCCTAAATCACATTTAGCATAATTTGTGGTCTTAAATTGGACTGATTTAGCAAAGAGAGTGAAATAATCTCTCATCCTGTCAAAAAGGCGATACCTTCAGACCAGCATTTAATTGCATTGGCAAAGTAACTTTGGGAAGGCAGGCAGTAATTCTCGCTGCATTATTCTTGGTTTGTGGCTAGATTGAGATCATCATTTTCTCCTGGTTACACTAACTTTCCTTATTGCTCTTCAAAGTAATCAGATGAATGCCGTGAGAGAAGCTTAGTGGCAGCTGGAGGGTGAAGTGGGGGAGAGGGTGAGGCCCCTGGAGCGGGCCGTGGTCGTCGTCAAGCTGTGTCTCACACACTTCGCGCTCTAGGGAGAGAACAGGTAACATCCAGAGACTCAGCAGGCACGAGGAATCGGTGTTCATTTACTCATAGTGAATACTGTTCATTCGCCGGAGAGCGTGTTACTGACTACACACCTAGGAGTGTGCTTTTAAGGCCAAATTGTACAGATAGGGCTCATATGCATTCCGGATGGTGTCTAAGAGTACAGTTTCTGGAGGTGATTTCCAGCTGCCTCAATTTTCCCATTAAAACCTGTCCTTTTATCTCCAGCCCCCAACCAGCCACTTCAGTAACTAATCCACGCCTTGCTCATTTTCCATCTGGACCACTGCCACCTCCCAAGCGTCTGGATCCAGACTGATTCATATTCTTCACAGTCCCTTCCCCCGGCGAAAGCATTTCTCTTGCCTTTTTACCAAGACTTCTTTCCTCTAAAAGAAGTCAGGTCACCGATGCCTTAGACATTTTATGAGCTAAAATTGAGGACTCGGAACTGTAATGAACAGTGCGCCTGTCCTCTTTACTTTTGTTCCGCTGGGACTTACCCACTGGAGTTCCGGCAGTGGCTACCTCCTGAAATAGTTTCGATGTCTCTTTGGAATCTGATGCATACCTGTGTAGTGGCTCGAAGCAAAGGGGCTCCCAGTTTTTCCCAGTCTTCTGGAGCACCCTTTCCTGCCCCCGAGGGTGCCGTTGGCATGGGAAGTAAATTACATAAGACGGGACACTTTCTTGTGCTGGACCCAGGGCCCATGTCAGTGGTGTGGGTAGCCTGGGTCGTCTCAGTGGGAGACTTTACATGAATCATGAACAAGCTGATGGCCCATGACACATGTTTGTAGAAGACTGACTCAGAGACTGGGATACATAAAGTATCATCTGTTGGGAGTCTTTCCGCTATCAATGGAGAGTTTGTACTTTTGAGGTAAAGATGCCTTTGGCTTTTACTTCGGTATTTGCATGTATATACTCCAGGGAAAGAAGACTCTTAGGCCCTCACTGGTTTATTTTAACCTTTGATCTGTATGCTAGTATTCATATCATGCTTCTGAGTTGGTTTTTCATATTTCTGTGTAATAACAGTGCATTGATCTGTTGCTAATCTGATGTAAACTGTGTGTGTGTGTGTGTGTGTATTGATCAAGGTGTAAAGGCCAGAAGCCAAAATCATAAACGAGACAGGTTGAATATTTTATCCTTTAATGTTGAACTTACATTGTGATTTAGTGCAGTGTTAAGAGAACAGCTCTTCAGATATCCGACTATTGAAACAGCTTGACGAATGTATCATCACCCAGGAAGGATCTGGAATTTGCAGTCTTTCTTCTGGTGGACGTGCAAAAAAAAAAAAAAGAAAGAGGAAAAAAAAAACCAACAAAAAAACAACCAACCTAACAAAAAAAAAACCAAAGGAAGCAGTTGTGCTTATGAGACATTGTATGACAATAATACAAGCATTTGTGCTTGGGAACACTCCCTTACGGGCTGTTTATGGCACTCTCAAATTCTCTTTTGCCCTTTGAGGGAACATTTCCATTTCTACTCTACTGAGTTACTAACCTAAGAAAAACCCACAAAAAAATAAGACTTGTATATGTGAATCAGATGGTCATATTCAAGTTTCATCTCTCTTTCCTGAGAAAGAAAAACAAAATGTGTTGCTGGCACTCCTTGCGAGGCACGGGGCCCTGTATTCACACTCAGCAACTTTGTTTCCGTAGTGGTGCCACCAAACATAGCAGAGCTGAAGAATTTGGAAGTGCTCAACTTTTTTAATAACCAGATTGAGGAGCTGCCCACACAGATCAGCAGCCTTCAGAAGCTGAAACACCTGAACTTGGGGTGAGTATGGGTGGATGGGGAAGGAAGGGAAGGAAAGGAGGAAGGAAAGGGGGGTACAGGCTGTGGGGGCATGTGGGAGCGCGTGTACTGTCACGAGGTGGGAGCTGACCTCCAGCTTTTTTCTGTGTGGCAGGTTTTTAAGAAAAGTTTTATTGTTTTAATACTTCTTTTCAGTGGCCTGCATTAGTGCATATCTATTAGAGAAGTCATTGAAAACCAAATTGTTGGTATCATAAGGGAGTTTTTTTTTGTTTTTTTTTAATCATAGTTTGTTTCCAACAAAATTTTATTTCAGTTAACATGGACCAGGAAGGGACTCATTTGTGTAACATTAACTGTTCAGAGCGGTTGTAACGTGGTTGATCTTTCTCTCTGTGTTAAGTAGAAGTCGTTTACAAAAGTGCCTTCCTTTTCTGGAGGCAGGGAGGATCTGCTTCCAAACATGCCTCATTGATTCTTACAGTTCTCTTATACAGCGCAGAGGTTATAATCCTCTGTCTGTCTGTATGCGAAGGTCAAGAGAGGAGGTTTGACTCAGCTGAGGTGGCCGAACCAGGCAGCAGTGAATAATAATAATACCGTCTATCGCTTTACAGTTTTCAAAGTCCTCATGCCAGTGTTTGACCCTCCGAACGATTATGAGGGAGGGAGGGCAGGCATACTGCTTTTGTTTCCAGGAGAGGAAGTCAAGCCCTGTGTGAGAGCTTCAGTGACTCACTCCTGGTGCCCCTGCGCTTCATGACCGAACTAGGTAGAGAACCCCGTTATCCAGGGTCCGCGGCCCTCCATCGAACACCACAGACGTCCCCAGAACTTGGGCTCCCGAATTCTAGCTTCCCTGTTGTAGCTTGTAGATGCAGTTGCCCACGCATGCTTCATCTGCCGTGTGAAGCAGGATATCTGTCAACCGATAGCCATTACATGCTCTGGTCTAGTTAGTGATTTACATGCAGTGGCGATACAAGGGGCCACGTGTCTATCAATTTAATAGGAAGCAATCTCAAAAACAAAACAAAATGAAATTCTGTTATTCATGGAATGATTTTTTAGTCCAGCTCCTTCTTTCCACAGGGAATTTGATGAGACACTCATCATGTTCACTCAGGTTAAGAGATAATCTTGGAAAAATCCATGAGCATTCTTTTTCCTGATGTCTGAGGGGAAGTAGAGCTTAAAAGAGGGGGGGCGTCACTTAAATCAGATGGCTTTCCCCCCTCCAAATACGGAGATTGTACACCCATCTTGCAAAGCAGAGAAGAAAGGATCCTTCGCTTACACCTTGTTTTGAAAATTATTAAGTCCTGTGTTTTAATTTGTGTGTAAGCCCAGAAGCTAAAACTAGATGTATTTGCTGGACATATAGATTAGATATATTCCTAGGGTGCCTGGATGGCTCAGTTGGCTAAGCATCTGCCTTCAGCTCAGGTCGTGATCCCAGGACCCTGGGATCGAGCCCTGCATTGGGCTCCCTGCTCAGCAGGGAGTCTGCTCATCCCTCTTTCTCTGCTCCTCCCCCCTCCCCCCACTCATGCTGGCTCTCTTTCTTCTCTCTCTCAAATAAATAAATAAAATCTTAAAAAATAACTCGTTACATTCTCATTGTTAATTTGTGGATTCATGTATTTAACGAGTTATTTGTCTGTAAGGCGTTAGGAGTAGTACCTGGTGGGTAGTAAACAGCATGTAAATGCTAGCTGTTATCCCCAGCACCGTCATCGTCACCGTTGTATTTACTATTTCACTGCAACCTGTGTCGGGGACCTTGCTCGTGTTGGGGCTCAGTGGCGAAAATCACAGTCCTTGGCCTTAAGTCTGGGGCAGAGTGGGCTGTGGAGGAGCCAGAGTCTGTGAGGGGCCGCTGACATGCCCGAGGTTGTCTCAGGGCTGTGGAGAGGGGTTGGGTGTTCCTCCACGGGTGAGGGGTTCCTACAGGGGGCAGTATTTGAGCTGAAACTTGATTCAGAAAAACGAATTTGTCAGATGCAGAAGCAGAGGGAAGGCATCTCAGCCTGCAGGAAAGACCGGATGAAAAGCTCAGAGTATCACACATTCCAGGAACTGCAGGCCGTTGAGTGTTGCTGAATGTAAAGTGTGAGGCAGGGAGTGGGAAGGGAAGGGGGAGGCCCACTGAAGAAGCATGGATGTCTGCTGTTTAGTTACTGAGTACTACCTGAGCGCCCAGCGGTGGGTCAGTCACCGTCTTGGGTACCAGCCAGCCAGCCTTTAGGGAGCGTACATCACAGCTGGGAGATAGACAGTAAACACACGTCTGGAACGGCAGGGACACAGAGGCTAGTGAAGGGCCCTGTGTGCCGAGGAAAGGGGCTTTGATTGTGTCCTGCTGACCATGGAGGAGTTTTCCCAGCAGATGAGCAGCTGTGAGAAGAGGTTGGATTTTTGTACAGAAGGTCATGTGGAGGGGAGCTTGAGGTAGGTAGGGCTCGAGGTCAGGAAAACGACCTATAAATGTGCTGGAGATGAGTATTCTAGGCGAATGAGGGCAGTGACAGTGAAGGTGGGGGAGGGGTTTTATGTGAAAAATGCTTAGGAGGTAAAATTGACAGGATGGTAGCTGATGGCATGGGGTGATGCCTAGGGGTGTATCATGGGCAGCCGAAATGGAAATAAAGACAGGGATGGTTGTGGAAAGAACATCACGAGCTCAGGTGTTGTTGGGTTGGGTTGGAGGCACCTTAGGACAGAGTTATAAAGTTTTCTGTTTCTTCTTTTTTTTAAACCAAACATATCTTAGTTCCATCTTATCTTCAGAGCTGTTTGCATTTTTGGCTCTCAGTATTGTATTGATTGTGTAAAGCTTTCTGTATTTAATTACATAGCTGTATAGATGGGGTTGTCAAAGTTTGAACAAAAATTCTTCGTTCTCTGGGAGAATGGGAGAGGAATTAACATGAGTTTCAATAAAAGATACTTCTGTCCTCAAATGGCATAAAGAGTTATACCTACATAACCCTGTGTAAGGCAAGTCATAGACAGAGGAGTCCTTAGACTAAGTGGCCCAAATAAAAATATACACACCAAAAATCTCAACACCAAAAAAGTAAATAATCCAATTAAAAAATGGGCAGAAGACCTGAACAGACATTTCTCCAAAGAAAACGTCCAGAATAGCCAACAGACACATGTTCAGCGTCACTCATCTCAGGGAAACACAAATCAAAACCACAATGAGATACCATCTCACACCTTTCAGAGCAGCCAAAATCCAAAAAGTCAAGAAACAACCGGTGTTGGTGAGGATGTGAAGAAAAAGGAACCCTCCCTCGTGCGCTGTTGGCGGAAATGCAGACTGATGCAGCCTCCATGGAAGACAGTATGGAGGTGCCTCAAAAAATTAAAAATAGAACTACCCTGTGATCCAGTAATCCCACTCCTGGGTATTTTCCTAAAGAAAACTAAAACACTAATTTGAAAAGTTTTATGCAGCCCTATGTTTATTGCATCATTATTTACCATAGCCAAATTACGAAAGTAACCCAAGTGTCCTTTAGTCGATAAATGAGTGAGGAGTAAGAGGTGTATATACACACAATAGAGTACTGCTCAGCCATAAAGAAGAATGGACTCTTGCCATTTGCAACAGCATGGATGGACCTAGGGAGGGTGATGCTAAGTGAAATAAGTCCAAGAAAGACCAGTACCATCTGATCTCACTCATGGGGAATTTAAGAAGCACAACAAATGAACAAAGACAGAAACCAACTGAAAAAACAGACTCTTAACTAGAGAGAACAAACTGTTGGTTACCAGAGGGGAGCGGAATGGGGGGTGGGGGTTGGGTAAAATGGGTGAAGGGGACTAGGAGGGTATCTGTGGCGATGAGCGATGCATGACGTGTTGAATCCCCGTATTGCACACCTGAAACTGACATAACACTGAATGTTAATGCTACTGGAATCAGAGTAAAAATTACATATATACACACAGGGCACCCTACAGCAGAGCATTTGGGCCACATATATGCAGATTTTGAATAACGTGCTCAACTAGAAGTTGTTTTTAAAATTTTCTCTAGTATTATGTGTTTATTCTGATGATGGCCAGACCCGAGAGGAGTTTTAGGCCCTCTGAATAAGTCAAGCTGCATTATGTTGTTAATTCTTGAAACGTGGCTCATTTTACAGAGTTAATTTCCCCAAAATATAAAGCCTCGTCAGCTGTTTGTTGGTGAAATGTCTCTGGGATATTGTGACTGCCGAAGCACCGTGCCCAACTCTTCTGAATAATTTTTCACCCAGTGAGATGCTGGAGCTCATCCCGTGAAATTTAGAAGTTTTCACCAAGTATGGGGCTGAATGTTCACAGATTTGGATTTTTTTTTTTTTCTTTTTTGGCTAAGTGTAGGAACAGGTCACTGTGGCCGTGAGAAAAATTACTACCTTTAGCTAAGAAGGTTTTATTGAAGCAAGAAGAGCATGAGAGGACCTCCAGCAGTCGGAACGTTCCAGAAGGGGAAGCATTAAGTAAGGCCCTTCCTGGCTTGTGTAAAAGAGAAAGAAAAAAGATGCTGACCAGCCTTCAACTATCCGGTTTTATAAATTTTTACAGATTTCTACATTACAGACAGGCACTTTCCCATTCTAGAACACACTGGGAAAATATCCAGAGGCAGTGGAGAATTTATACCATTATGGTACGAGTGTGCCCTCAGCAACTTTGTGAGCACTGGAGTGATGTGCAAGTCCTCTGGCAGCACACAAACACACTGGATAGTTCAGGCGGCCCACAGCGGTCTTCTGCTAGGGTGAGCTTACCTGTTGGAGGCTGAGGCACAATGTTTCTCAGTGACTTCCTGAAAACTGATTGTAGTTCCAGCTCTTGGTTCTTAAGAGCCATTTGCAAGCCACAGATCTTTCTACCGGGCTTCAGATTTTTCAGCTCTCTTCCTCCTGCCGATCCTGCTGGGAAGGTACGGCTGTCCTCATTTTGCAGTTGAAGAAACTGGGTCTCAGAGACGCTGACTCACTTCTCCGAGGTCACCCAGCTAGCCATGCTGGAGCCGGACTGCTCCTCTCACCTCGCTCTGTTCTGCCCCCGCCTCTGCTCTGACCTCTCCGGGGGTCCTGGGAGCCAGGAGCGCCCACCCTGTCCGAGGGGTCCCGGGAGCAGTGGTCCCCCGCGTGCACATGGAGGTGGTTGGAGCCCCCGAATGTGCTAGTGCCCCAGGAAGGCGCCAGTGGGCCCCGCAGCTCCTTTCTTTGTTCGCAGCCAGTGGTACTTCTGGACCCTCGTCTGCGTTTGTTAAAGGGAAAGCTTCCTTTCTGCCTGCCGGTTTAGTGAGCTGCCTGCTGTCGCTGCTGCTGGCTGCACGGGTGTTCCTGACACATGGAGGGGATTGGTGTGTCCCTCAAGGAGAAGAAGAACTTTGAGTTCAGTAGGTTCTGCCACCTGGAGGTGGCCAGTGTAAGGCTCGCTGTAGGCTGGAGAGTGGCTGGAAGCGCCGGAGATGCCTGCTTCCTCTGAGGAAGGCTAACCCAGGCTTTCCTGCACGTTACCTTCCAGACGTCTCCTCCTGTGTTTGGAAGGAAAACCTTGATTGGTGATTTTTGAGAATGGGAAGCTTAGAACAGTATTGAAAGAAAGAAACATACTTCTGACCTTTTTCCACTATTTTTTTCTTGCAACTTACTCAGCTCCTTGCATTGGAATCTCAGGATCAGGGTGCCTTTGCCTCCATGAGGGGCTGGGTGCTCTCAGATAACCTGTCACCCCCACCAGGCGAGTCAGAAGTCCTTGTTACTGTATTCATGGCAGAATTAAATATACTTATAAGCACTGACCTGCCTGTGTTACATGAAAGTTTTGGTGACTCAGGTGAATACTTGATACAGATATGCTTCGCAGATTGTAAATTGGTAGAAAATACCAGTTGTTGTCATTGCCACAAATGGTCATGGAGGTTATTTTATTTTTACTTTTTTTAAAGATTCTTATTTATTTATTTGATAGAGAAAGAGATAGAGCACAAGCCTCGGGGAGTGGCAGGCAGAGGGGGAAGCAGGCTCCTCACTGAGCAGGGAGCCCGATGTGGGGCTCCGTCCCAGAACCCTGGGATCATGACCTGAGTTAAAGGCAGATGCTTAACCGACTGAGCCACCCAGGCATCCCATTTTATTAAGTACAAATTTAACCAATGACTTTTCTACCCAAGAGGTAGAAATTTACTTTTCTCTTGGTTTCCTCTTGTGCCATCAGCTCTTTCTTGTGTGACAGGGCTGGTGCATGGTTAGCAGGTATGTTCAGGATTGTATCTAGTATGAGAAGGCTTGAGACCTAGAGTTAGTTTAGCATCACAGTCCCTCTGACCTTTCAGTATCTGTGAGCTTATATTAGATTAAAAAAATTTTTTTTAAATCCTCTTAAGTATGCCCCAAAGGAACCACATTAAGAAAAATAAGGGTCTGGGGCATCTGGGTGGTTCAGTTGGTTAAGCATCTGCCTTTGGCTCAGGTCATGATCTCAGGGTCCTGGGACTGAGCCCACATTGGACTTTCTGCTCAGTGGAAAGCCTGCTTCTCCCTCTTCCTCTGCTGTTCCCCCTGCTTGTGTGTGTGCGTGCTCTCTCTCTCATATACGTAAATAAAATAAAAAAATAAGGGTCTTAAAGAAAATAAGAGAATAACAGGAAATATATTTTCTTTAGATTTCACTGAAGGTACATATATGTATTTTTGATTTTCAGATAGGGTGAAATACACATGATGTGAAATTTACCATCTTAGCAGTTGTTAAGTCTAGGATCCTGTAGCATTAAGTTGCTACATTGTAGTATTATAGCATTAAGTTGCCCTACATCACTGGGCAGCCAGTCTCCAGAATTTTCTTATCATGCAGAACGGACTCTATATCCATTAAACAACAACTCCCTGTTTCTGCCCTCCACCCCCTCACCTCCCCATCCCTCCCAGCTCCTGACAGCCACCCTCCTGACTAGAGATCATTTGGAACATTAGTAGTTGCAGAACAACAGAGTGATTTTCCCCCCTCCCATTGCGGGGGAATAAATGAAATAAAGCCAACCATCTAAAAACTACAAAGCTTACTCTGCATCTTTTGAGGAATTATTGTTGCCACATACCTGAGGAAGTTCTCTGGAAGGGCAGATACTTTGCGATGATTGAAGTTTCTCTGTAACACAGTGAGCGTCACCATTGCAGAAAACGAGCCATTTTCAGATGTTTCGTAACCATTTTCAGATGTTTCATCTTACTGCAATTCCTGTGTTGGTTAAAAGAACATTAAGTGATGGTGGAATCACGGCCTCTTCTAAGAGCTTTCCGTCTCTCACATTCAGTTCTTAGGCCTGTGACACAGAGATGATGTGAGTATTGTCTGAACATATGTTTTGTGTGTGACGTCTTGGATTTTTTTCCCCCCCATCACAGCATGAATAGACTAAACACTTTGCCTCGAGGATTTGGCTCTCTCCCAGCTCTTGAGGTCCTTGATTTGACTTACAACAACTTGAGTGAACATTCTCTTCCCGGAAACTTCTTCTACCTTAGTAAGAAACTTTTAATTCTATAAATCTCCTTAAAATGGTACTTTGCGTTCTGAAAGTGAAATTTATTTGCCAGGGCCCCAACTCCAAGAGAAATTATTGGACCTATATATTTTTTCTTCACACATTTCTTTTGAATATTCCTTCATAGCTCAGCAGTATGTATATTTGATATATAGTTATCTGACACCATTGCGCTCAAGTGGACTTAGTAATGTCATATTAACTTCCGGATGGAGATTATGTACCTAAATGAGATCAAGTCTCACATTTCGCTAAAGAACTTGACTTTCTTTTTAAAGAGCATGCCAAGAAAATACGATAATGCCTGTGTCCTCCCTTGTTGCTGTTAACTCTTTGTAAGCCATTTCCCCAAAGATATTTCAACCGATCATTTATTAAAAATATCCCTTAATAAACCAGTAACAGAATTTTTTTGACATTTCCAAGCAGGATTCTTGTTGTAAGTGTTTTAAAAAGAGGTAGTCTCTTTTGTGTGTAGTAGGCAATCAAACATGGAGAAATCATTTGTCACAGATAAACACACTTTATCTTTTCACCTGTATTCTATGCAAACAAATTGCTAGCTGCAGATACTCATAAAAAAATGAGGAAAAACTGATTTTTTTCTGAGAACTCACAAAATATTTAGGAAAGATTTGCTTTCCTTAAATGAGTGTTCTGCTTCTCCAAATAGTGACACGTATGGCATCCAGCAATTTTGAATTTTCTGAGCTCATCTCCAAAATTTCATTTATAACCTTATGCATATTCTCATTCCCAGACTTTCTCAAGCACATGAAGCCAATTCTAAAATATTTTCTTGGGCCATAAAGGAAATGTTGTTGTGTATATTGACACAGAGTTCTGTTGAATTTTAAAACATTAGAATGTAATTGAATACCTGTAAGCAAACACAACAGACATCGCATCATCGTCTCCTTTTTGGTTAGGGATCAAAAAGATGCCTTAGAATGTTCTTCTTCCATAGTTTGGGGGTCATGTTATCGCTGTGTAATATTGTGAGCAAATTTCTGATCGCCAATATTCTGCCTGAGTTAGGGTTTCTGTAGTTTTAAACTCCATGTCATCATGTTCACTCTTTTTTCTTCATTTATTTTTGTTGTTAAGGCTAGAGAAATAGTTAATAATACTTAGTTTGATTACAGAAACAGTGACCTGTGTTATGGTCTTCCTCACCCGAAAGCCTTTTAGTTATTTATTTTTAACAGAGTTGCATTTCAGTGATAGAACCCCTTTGCCCTCAGCCTCGATACAAGTGTCACTGGTTTTCTTGGTTACCCTTCGGATGCAAAGCGTAAATATGAATCAGAAATAAGAGAAGAAAAACCGCGATCTTTTTTGAAAGCGTCTTGAAACCCTGTGCCAAACACTGCTGGTGCCCAGAGTTGTTAATTGCGTCAGTCCTCATGGATATAGATGTTTTCCTGAACACACCAGCCCCACAATAAGCCAGTAAATCTAAGTTTGACCTGCTTCTTATTATTGTGAGCCCTAGGTGTGTCACAGGCTTTTCACCGAGCCAGGGTTATTAATCAAAGCTGACTCCCTCGTATTGATCAGACCTCAAATGGTTGGATTCCGTGCCACCCTGTTTATACATTGCTGTTTAATTTGCAGCCACCCTGCGTGCACTCTATCTAAGTGACAACGATTTTGAAATCCTGCCGCCAGATATTGGGAAGCTCACAAAGTTGCAGATAGTAAGTAATTTATCTAAATTCTTAGAAAATCAATTCACTTCTGCAGCCCTTGTAGGAGTGGAATCAAGTCAATTTGAGCAGGAGTACAGTTTGTTTTGCGGGAATCAACCACTCCTCCTGCTGCTGTATCTGATCCATCTGCAAGCACTTGTAAATAAATTGAAGGGACTGAGCCTTCAGAGGAGAGGGGGCACGGGAAAGGACAAGAGTTGCTGTTGAGCGCGTCTGTATGTGAACACTGTTTTGACAACTCCTTGTTTTCTTGTATTTAGCTCAGCCTTAGGGATAATGACCTGATCTCGCTGCCTAAAGAAATCGGGGAGCTTACTCAGCTTAAGGAACTCCACATTCAGGGGAATCGCCTGACCGTTCTGCCCCCAGAACTAGGTAAGGTTGCTGGTGAATGATCTTAGTTCCGGGGTTTAACTGATTACAGTGATCCGAATGCGGCCATTCTGGACAACCCTTGCTCCTCCTGGCAGGCACCTTCCACCGAGGGGCCCCTTTCTGGTCATTTCTAGTAGCACCTGTCCTTGACCAGGGTGCAGCCATTACAGGTTGACGTGTCCCGCTGCTCCATTCAGGGCCTGAGAAACTGCTGAGGTTGGGAGGGGGATCCGCCAACTCAGCCCCTGTGTGGTGTTGGGGGGTGGGAGGGGGAAGAGCCCAAGGTTAGCAGTAATGGTCTTGCCTGGGGTCCCTCCTTTGCTAGCTGATGATCTTTAAAAATTTTCTAATCAAACTGCTGTTCTTACTTTTCTTCATCTCTTAATTTTTAATTTCAATCCCTTGAAAACGTGTACCGCCTAGTTCAAGTATTTGTTACAGCTGCACGGAAATACCTTTGCTCGTCGTGTCTGTGGTTTTCCACTGACTCCGTTTCCAGTGGAAATTGTTAAATATGTTCCAGCTGGGAATCCCCTGGTCCTACTCCTGGGGTGGGTGATTCTTAGCACTGTCTACCCAGTCACCCCGGCCAGGGTGGGCTTAGGACCTCCCTCAGAAAAAAACATTCAGACGGGTTAGCCCATGGCTGAGGCTGTTCTGCCCTTCTGGAAAGGTCTTGTGTGCTTGTGCAGACACTCTGTGTCCTCTGACTTCTTCAGTCCCCTGAACTATATTGTCCCTCAGACTATGAATATTTGTGTTTCTGCTTCAAAAGAGCTTAATTTAATTTATTATTTAAGATTTATTTATTTATTTATTTATTTGACAGAGATCACAAGTAGGCAGAGAGGCAGGCGGGGGGGGGGGGGGAAGCAGGCTCCCTGCTGAGCAGAGAGCCTAATGCGGGACTCGATCCTAGCACCCTGAGATCATCACCTGAGCCGAAGGCAGAGGCTTAACCCACTGAGCCACCCAGGCGCCCCTAAAAGAGCCTAATTTTAAAGAACACATTTAACCCAGAGTTCTTGGAGCAAGTACCTCACATGAGTCTGATGGTACGAAAGAAGCCAGTTATTAAAAATTGGAATGCAAGCTCCATGAGGGGAGGGTGGGGTTTAGTATCTGCTCCGCGCTCTGTCCCCGTGCCTGCCCCGTGCCATGCTGCAGGTGGGTGCTAGAGGAACGAGTACTGGACAGCTTAATGAAACAAGGGCCTCCGACAGTGAGGCACTGGGATGGCCATGCACAGCCAGAGTTTGACATCTCTCTGGTGCAGTGCTTCCAGTGAGGGAAGCCACAAGCCACACTTCTAGGTGCTCAGTACCACGTGTGGCTCATGGCTGCCCTGTGGAAAAATGCAGGTACACAACGTTTCCGCCAGCTGGCATGTTCCGTGGGGCAGCGCTGGTCTAGAGGAAAAGCATTCACATGATTTCTTAGGACCGACGTAAAGTTTCAGCCCCTATTCCTCCATCTCCTCCAGCTGCTCTGTTGTTGTGAATTGTCTAAAGGAATTTGTACTGAGTTCAAGAGCTGAGAAGTAGCTCAGCAACTTCTCTTCACAGAGTTACAAGTGGACACATCTTACTTTAGGAGCAGGCTAAGGGATCAAGAAAAGTTCTCTGCGAAAGTTTTTAAAGCAAAAAACTCCTTGTCAAAAGAAAGAGTTTGTACAGTGATTCCTAACCCGAGGGGATAACATTAATAATGCCTGGGGGACTTTTGCTTCTTCCCGGAACTACTGAATCAAAATCTCCATGCTGAGACTGACTTTTTTTTCGTAAAGATTTTATTTTATATTATTTATTTGAGAAGGAGAGCACATGTACAAGAAGAAGGGTAGGGGGAGAGGGAGAGAGAATCCCAAACAGGCTGAGTGCCGAGCACTGGGCCCGACGTGGGGCTTGATCTCACGACCCTGAGATCACAACCTCAGCCAAAATCAAGAGCTGGACCGACTGAGCCACTCAGATGCCTCAAGACTAATTCTTACATAATTTGGAGAAGCTCACTCCATGCTTCTGGTGTGCATCCTTGGTTATTATGACTAGGAGAAATTGTTCTTTTTTTTTTTTAAGTGTATTTTGTCATTGTTCTGTTCCATTTTGCAAGCAAAGAGGCAATGTAGGGCATTAATCAGGGATTTCTATCAGATGATAGTTTGTTAGAAAAATAATCCTGGGTGACCACCTACCTATGTACTTACATATTTTGAAATCTTAACTCACATTGCTTATCTTATTTAAATATGGCTTCTACTCATGGTTATCATTTCTGTTGAGCACTCCAATAATAAGTATATATATATATATACACACATATACGTGTATATATATATTTTTATTCAAGAATAGAATTGAGGAGAAAGTTACTAAATGACTTTTTTTTTTTTTTAAACCACATGTAGGCGGGCTTAATCTCCACATCTGTCTGGTGGCAGCTTTCCCTAATTACAGGCAAATACTTCACTGGAAGTAAATGATAAGCCCCCGGGAGTTGCTGTTACAAATCTAAACTAAAGATGAAGGCAGATGTATTCTTTATTTTTGAATGGTGATTTTTTTTTTTTTTTTTTAAGAATCAAGAATAATATATATGGCCCGGGAATATAATAATAGCTATTGTAATTGCCAGCACAGATGAAGGCATCTGTGATGAGTGCTTTTCTTGCTCTATCTCCCGTAATCATAAGCTGACTTTTTAGAGGTAAGAAGACGAGCTGAGGGGCACCCATCGGGGCACAGCTAATAAGTCACAGAGGCTTGATTTGAACCCTGTGGGCCTGTTCTCCGGGCCAGGATTCCTAGCCACTGTGGTGGTCTCATCTCCATTCGTGCCCACAGAATGATTCCCAGAAAGCGGTTTCCAAGTGTGACTAAAGCCCCCGCTGGCCGGCCTCCCCAGGCGAGCAGGAGAAGAGCTGCTCCAGCATGGCCGTCGTGTGGCCCCCTGGGCTGGTGTGTCAGCAGTGGGGCCGTAATCACACTGCAAGGTGCAGAAGAGATGCCCTGGGTGACACAGGTGCTCTCCAGCTAGGCCGTTCCCAGGTGTGGCGTTGTCCCTGCAGTTCTCCCTCCCACCCCACCCCGCTACCCCGCTGCCCAGGCACTGTCCCCAGCCACAGCGGGAATGTTTTGTTTTGACTTGTCCTCCACGGCTATGGTGAGCCTCCAGAGCTGCCCTGGCTGGCTGATGACTGACTAGAGACCGATGAACCTGAAGTGGCTTCTCTCTGTCCCTAGAGCATCCTGGGCTGCAGGTTGGCTCCTGGGTGCATCTTCAGGTGCGGATAATGAGCTCTCCCCTATATGTTCGTATTTTATGTAGCGGAAGTAAGCGAAGTCAGTGCTTCTGGGATTTCTGCGAAATTTCCTTTAAAAATAAATTTGGAGGGGCACCTGGGTGGCTCGGAGGGTTAAAGCTCTGCCTTCGGCTCAGGTCATGATCCCAGGGTCCTGGGATCGAGGCCCGCATCGGGCTCTCCTTGGCGGGGAGCCTGCTTCCTCCTCTCTCTCTCTGCCTGCCTCTCTGCCTACTTGTGATCTCTTGTCTGTCGAATAGATAAATAAAATCTTTAAAAAAAATTAAAAAAAAATAAATTTGGAATTTAACAACTTGAAGCCTTATTGGTAAGACTATTTGAACCAAGCACAGGAATCCAGATGGCTTAAATGTGTCGGGTCTAAAATGTTCAGGGACATAGCACAATAAAGTCAGGGGCTTGGCTGGAATTTTTTCTATGTAATTATATTACTTTTGTTGTGACTCTCTGAATAAGTTACTTTATGTGTTGTGTCTGATTCCTAGACAGTAATGCCCTTGATTTGATGTTGGTCCATATACCTATAGCAAATTAGATGCAAACTGGGTCTGTCATTTCCCCATTCATTTTTTTTCATTCATTCAGACATTTGTTAAGTTCTGTGTTAGGCCAGGTCTTGTCTCCAAGGAACTTACTTTCCAGTAAAGTAAAATTCACTTATTCGTCAACTGTTTATCGGGTCCCAGTTTTTTGCTTATTTCTTGGAGATATGAGAAGGGAGACACCCCTGTGATCCTGCCATGGGGGAGGATGGATGCGTGGACGGATGGAGAGCATATCAGATGATAAATGCTCTTTGAAAAACATTAGCATGGAAAGGAGTGTCCCAGTGGGGGCGGGTGATACTACTTTGTTATACAGAGTCCCAGAGAAAGCCTCACTCATAAGCTGGTGTCATTTGAGTAGAGTCTTAAATGAGGGAGAGAGTTTTCCTGGCTGAGGGAACAGCAAGTGCAAAGGTCCTGAGATGGTGGGGTGTAGAGTAACAGCATGAATCACGTGGCTGGAACACAGTGAGGAGGCGGGGGGTCATTGGAAGAGATGAGCTCAGTTAGGAAGTGGGACTAGATCACATGGGAACTTGTGGGCATTGTTAAGGACTTGGGCTTTTGCTCTGAGTGAGGTGGTGTGGCAGTCTGAATAATGGCCCCCAAAGGTGCCCTCGTCCCAACCACCAGAACCTGGGCATTTGTGATCTCGCATAGCAAAAGGACTTTACCGACGCAATTTAGAATCTCAGGGTGCAGAGATTATCTTAGATGACCAACGTGAGCCCAGTGTAATCACGTGGGGAGGAGAGGGGCTGCTCATGAGTTGAGTTGTGGATATCCTGAATTTGAGATGCCTTTCGGATGTCTCATTGAGAAAGGCACCTGGACAGTGGGGTGTGGAGTTGGAAGAGGGAGACACATACAGCTGAAATCCTCTCCTGAGCCTGTCTGAATCCCAAGGTCTCTTTGGGACCCATATTTGCAGCGAGTAGTTCAATCTCTTCAAAGGAATATCAGTGTGACTAAGTGAAGTTCCACCCAGTTGTATTTAGTAGCAGAATTAGTGAGTGGAGTGGAGAAAAGGCCTGCATTGCTAGGGAGGACGGAAGTGCACGTGGCCGGACCAGGCCTCCAAACAGACGGAGCGCTGGAGTGGATGACAGCTTCGTGCTGACGTCGGAGCTCGC